GAAAATATCAAACCTGAAAAAGGAAAAACAATTAAAGGTTGGGGTACCCGGTGCCCCGGTTTTCTTCTTCAGGGGGGGCCTACCGCGTGGGCGTTGAAAGTTGGGCGGAGAAAACAAAAATTTCAAAACACCTACCCCTTTCTTTTTCGTTAATTTCCCTTTTAACTTTTTTAGCCCATCACCTCACCTAATTCAGAACTTTCTTCCACTTAGTTTTCCTCTAATTGGCTTTTTCCAATCTATTTCTTCACAAATTCTCCTCTTATTTTTTTTTTGGAATAAACCATAAGTTAGTTCCTTTTTTTTTTTCTTTCAATTTCATACACAAAATTTTTTTAACTAATTAAGCATTTAACTAATCCCTATATAATAAGTTATTTTCATTTTTAAAATTGAAAATGAAGGGCCTGCTAGACCTGTCCCACTTTGCCAAAGTGAGATGATTAATTGTATTTACAAGCAGTGTAAAGTAAAGCTGAAAATTCTAATGATGTAAATAATTTAATAATAATATTTTTTAATAAAAGTAAAAAAAAAAAAACTAAATTCAACTTATAAAATATATACATATGATGAGTTAATGAATGAGGAAAATTGTCTATTGTAATTTTTTTAAAAAAAAGATAGAGTTAGAAAATCTTAGTGATATGCTCTGAAATTAAGACATGTACCCAACACACTTAAAACTGAACTCAACATAAAATCTTGTTATGAGTCAAATTTATTGAAAAAATCAAATGATCTCATGAGATTGCATAATTATCTGGATCCATTTCAATATTGAATCTGAAAATTTCAATTTGAAATTTCTAACCATAACCTGTTAGGATATCTTAATAGGACCGCCGCCTTCTTTAGTTTGCCTTAAATTTTAGTCCAATGGGTCAGAAAGAATATATATTTTTTAAAATAAATAAGAGATTTTAATTTTTAAAATAATTAAAGTTTTAATTTATATTTAAAAATTAAAATTTTAATTTAAAATTTAAAATTTTAATTTATTTTTAAATTTAAATATCAATATTTAATAAAATAAATTTTTAAATTTTAAATTGACTTTTAATTAAATAAAATAACTTAATTTAAGATTAAAATTTTAATTTTTTTAAAAATTAAAATTAATATATATTTTTTTAATAAATATTTTATTAAAATTTAAAATAAGATCACATCAAAATCTCTGTATTAAAGCAGCTATAGCCCGAAAGCATAATTTATAACATTAAATATAGATTTAAACTACACATATCTAATATCTTAAGTCATAATCAATACAAATAATTAAATATAAAGGATAGTAATCATCATAGGACATAAGGAAGTTATTGTGTGTATCCTAATTTACTAGATAATTTCAACTTATATACTAACTTTTTGAGAAGAGCATGTGTAGTTCAAACCCAACGCTCCCTACCAAATTCATTGGGCTGTTATCCTGAGAAGTAATAATAATGTAAGTATTTTAGTGGTAATTTTTTTAATAAAAATAACAAAATTATTTTTATTAAATAATTTTAGATAAAAAATAATAATTTAAAAATAAGTTCAAAAGTGAAATTTTAAGAAGAAATTAAGTTTAAGGGTGGTGTGTGAGTTTTTTTTTAAATATATATGATTTTATATAATTCTCAATTAATTGGTTTTAGAATTGTCTCTGTTCAAAAAAAAAAAAGAAGAAGAAGAAGAAGAAGAAGAGAGAGGCAACTTAAGTTTTTAATTTTTTTGGTTAATTCAAGGAATAAAAATCGCTGTTTTAAGATATTAAAAATGAGAACCTCTCCTATTTTCCACTTTTCTTTTAGTCCCAAAACTTTCATTTGGCGCAGTAATACTACTAATTATAGCGATCCATACGCTTCCAAGTTCCACCTGAGATTCATGAGCTTTAGTCATTTCTATTCTTTTCACCTCTAATCAACTCTGGTTTCTTGCCCAGAAAAAGTGCAAATTATGGCGATGGCGATCTAAAAAGCTTCCGTCTTTCTCACACCTCTGCATCCGCATCTGCACAACAACCCCACCGGCGCCCAGCCATGAACCACCGCCGTCAATATTTATTAATTCAACGTTTTTAGGGCAGATTTACAATCTCACCTTCTTCCACTTTTGCTGACCCATCGCGCCATGCCACGTGATTTACCACTGGTACCTCCGCCGCCAGTGGTGGTACACCATCACCAGCGCCCAGCCACCACGCGGGTCATTCTCCCACCGCTCGCTGCTGCCACCGCCGCTTTCTCAGTTCTCCTGGTTCTCTCCCTCTGCCTCCGCAAAATCCGCCGCGAGAGGACTGCCCCTGCAGACTCTAAGCCACCTCATCGATACTCTTACGCCGCGCTCCGCCGTGCCACCGACTCGTTCTCTCCGTCTCGTCGCCTTGGCCAGGGTGGGTTCGGTTCTGTTTTCCGCGCTACTCTCCCCAACAACAACCAAAATGTTGCCGTTAAAGTTATGGACTCCGGTTCTCTTCAAGGCGAGCGGGAGTTTCAGAATGAGCTCTTATTCGCCTCCAAGCTCGACTCCTCCCTCGTCGTCTCCGTGCTTGGATTCTCGTCTGACAGAAAGCGCCGCCGTATGCTCCTTGTCTACGAGCTCATGCCCAACGGCAATTTGCAGGACGCTCTGTTGCATCGCAAATGCCCCGAGCTGATGCAGTGGAAGCAGCGACTCTCGATTGCCTTGAATATCGCGAAAGGACTTGAGTATCTTCACGGCTTGGATCCTCCGGTGATACATGGAGATATCAAGCCCAGCAATATTTTGTTGGATCAGTACTTCTCCGCCAAAATTGCAGACTTTGGTTTAGCAAGGTTGAAATCGTTGGAAAACCAGATTAATGGGGTATCGGAAGCGACTAAAGTTGAATTGATAGAGGATAACGGATCTGTGATGGAGACTGAGAGTGTAGCTACAGGATTTGAGGAGTTCAATTTGGGGGTCGATCAGTCGCCCGAAAGTTTTGTGAGAACTGCTGGTTCTGTCACCGCGTCGCCAGAGGCTGTAGAGGTGGCGACGGCATCACTGGAAACTGTTGGGGTTGTGGTGGCATCACCTGAAATGACGGAGAAAGCTAGTGTTTCAGAGTTGAATTTTGATAGGGCTAGTTTTGGAAGTGGGAAAGAATTGACTGGAGGGAAGCGGAGTAGGAAAGGGTTAAGGAGCATTTCGGGGAAGGATTGGTGGTGGAAGCAAGAGAATGGGGCGGCAGAAACTGGGAAAGTTAAAGATTATGTGATGGAATGGCTTGGGTCAGAGATTAACAAGGAGAGACCAAAGAGTGACTGGATTGCTTCAAAAGCTTCTTCAAGTAGCGATAGGAATGCAAAACTGGAAAAGAAAAGGAAAAAGAATAGGAAACAATTAGAATGGTGGGCATCATTGGATGATGATAAAGAAGGGAACTCGAAGAAAGAGAAGAGAAGGCCGGCAAGGGAGTGGTGGAAAGAGGAATACTGTGAAGAGCTTGCTAGGAAGAAGAAGAAGAAGAAGAAGGGACAATTGGGGATGTACAATAGTGATGATAATGGTGGGGATGACTGGTGGCCAGTGGGTGAGGAATTATATTCAGAGAACAAGAAGAAGAGAAAGAGTCGAAGAAATGGGAGTAAGAGCAGTGTTGGTAGTGTGGATTGGTTATGGGATGGGCTTAGTGGTGAATTATGGAGGGGTCGGCAAAACAGCCTAGATTCTCTGAGTGGAGAGATTCCCAAGAGTGGTGGTATTAGTAGTACACCGAGTATGAGAGGGACTGTATGCTACATTGCTCCTGAGTATGGTGGTGGTGGGGATTTATCAGAGAAGTGTGATGTTTATAGCTTTGGTGTTTTGATGTTGGTTTTGATTGCTGGGCGGCGCCCACTTCAGGTCACAGGCTCACCAATGTCAGAATTTCAGCGTGCCAATCTTATTTCTTGGGCACGGCATCTTGCAAGAACTGGGAAACTTCTTGATTTGGTTGATCAGCGCATACAGTCTCTGGACAGAGAACAAGCACTTTTGTGCATTACAGTTGCATTGCTTTGTCTGCAAAAATCACCAAAACGCCGGCCATTCATGAAGGAGGTTGTGGGGATGCTCTCTGGTGAGACAGAGCCACCCCAATTACCAATCGAATTTTCCCCTTCACCACCATCACGTTTCCCATTCAAGTCACGTAAAAAGGCCTAGTGAGTTTCTAAATGCTTAGAATTTTCACCAAATACTGTTACATTGCAATATAAATCATTGTTGTTTTTCTGTTTCCATCATCGTTGACAATCATTCTGTAAAGAAATTAAAATTTTTACTTCATATACAATGTTTTTTGGTTTTGTTTCACTTGCTTTGTTGTTGATACAAGTCACAATGGAGATGAATCAAAAACTGACCCCACTTTTTTTTCTTTTCAAGCTTCACCAATGCCTTGTGTAACTGGATTATGTTGCCTCAAACATGGCCCATATATTTGGTGTTGAGGCTCTGTTGATTATTGCCTCATTTTTCCTGGATTTAAGCAAACTATTGCTTTTCATCACTCAAGGTTGTTTAGCCTTAAGTTGTTTCTCCCTGTCCCCACTTCCCCACTCCTTAAAAATTAACATAGCTGTTGCATATTTGTGAATTACTAGGTAGACATAAGAAGGAATTCAATGTCAAGGCCGGTATTCAAACGCTTCAAAGTTAGGTATAGATTGGTAGTACAGTTGTCTTGGCTAGACCAATATAATGAAAAACGTACTAAATATATATTGGTTGGCATTTTAATTTCTCTGAAAGAATCTCTTTCTCCGTACAGTCTACCAACATTGTGATCATGAGATGCAACAATGGATGATGGGATGGGATATCTTTTAAATTTTACTTATCTGAGCTTAGCTGTTAATTTCTTTGGTGGATATGTCGGTAATGGTGAATGTTTTCTCAGTACTCTATTCAAGCATATTTATGCTTGAGTAAAAGAAGAAGGAGTTTCATTACATTCATTAGACCAGCTTTGCTAGCTAATTTTGAAAAGAACAATGGTTCTTTTCAATGGGGTTTAAACTATCCCAAGTCGTTGAATTGTAGGTCGCCCAAAATTTTAGCCCTGTTATTGCATAAACAAATCAGCGTTCTCCTGAAAGAGCTGATGATTAGAAATAATTATGTTATTGAACTCAACAGCAGTTAACCTCCTACTTCTTACTGTTTTGCAATGTTCACTATCTTGAAGGCATTTTGTTTTTCTCCTGGAATCAAAGTGGAGTACTTCTCTTTATTTCATCATCGTTCACGAGGGAGAGGATATGGTTACCATATTTTGAACTCGTCATTATTCCAGTAGTGAACCTTAAGTCATTTTTTAGTGTTGCGTAAATTTTAGAATAGTTTTTACATTATTTCCTTGCAAACAAGAGTGCTTAGCGACCATCATACTTTGGACTCCGTTCTGATTGATGCCCTGCATATTGAACTTCCACAAATGTTATATAGCATGTGCAATCTATATGGTAGTATTTGCTTCTTGTGTTTCTACTGCACTTTGAAGTACACTATTATTTTGCCGAATTGTAAAAAAGTCCTACCATAAGGTTGCTATGCTAAGATAAGACTGCCTATCTTGGAAATTGCAGTGGCAATAATGATTTGAAGGTAATGCTTTTCATCTGGCATTCACAAAATTTCCATGTAAAGGTAAAAAGGTTGATGATAGCATAATTGAAAATGTCTATGTTTGTGACAGTTTCTTCCCACAAGCATCTTGACTAATGCGATAGAACTGTAGAAAGCAGTTGATGTGTTCCCTACTTTTCCTCGTATGTTTCCACCAAGTAGCCTCTACTATACAGACAGTGCTGAAACTGTTGCATGTACTGTTAAATTTTTACTGTAAAGGATGTTGCCAATACAAATCATATGTTTAGTGCAGTACCGGATATAATCATAGTTTTCACTACTCTTCAGTGGTGTTTCGCATTCATTCCTCTTGCTTTACCCCTCTATCTCTGCATTGATGGTGCATTTTGAATTCTGTTTGCAAATCCTGTTTAAGTTGCAACATAAGTTCTGTTGGTACTGATGTGCCGGGCAGAATGCATCTCTATGGTTTATATTTGTCTGTTCAAATTCGACTGTTCCCAGAAACAATGAAGAAATATAAAATAAGATATTTCACCCTTTTGGTACATAATCAGTTCATTTTGACCGATATTGCAAAAGTCCGTGGAAAACTGTTCGGTTGGAGCAAATTCCCCTCTCAAATAAAAGTGGCAAAAGTAAATCCGGTTCCCTGGATCTGGGGTAACTAGTGTCAGCCTCGTGCGACTAAAGTGTAATTACCACTTTCAAGAAAACAAAAAAATGGCAATACCACTCCTTAAATTTTTATAATTTTTGTACTTAAAAATTTTCCACCCAAAATTACTAGATAACCATCATCACGTCCTTTTTCCGTTAACTACTTGTTTGCATGACATTTTTTCCAGCTCGGTGCTAATGTCATAATTTAATTTTGGTTGAAAATCTTGAATTTGAAATTTTGAATGATGGTTTTGTCACTGCATCTTTTAAGGGTGGATTAGCTCCAACTGAATAATTTTGAAGTGATTTTTGCAACATTAGCCTTTTTAATTTTCCAAGATTACATTAGCTATTTGTTGGAAAACTTTCTTCATTTCAAACATAAGGTGGACGTCATAAAGCTTTATCATAGCAAGCAATTAATCCTCTAATATATTAAAAAAAATTGACAAAAAAAAAACGGATGTCAAGAAACTTACAATATCTTAAAGTTAGACATGGTGAGTATTTGGTACGGGTGTATCCCGTTAATTGCAAGTACCTTACATGTTTAGGTAAGCATCATCCTTGAACTGTAAAAAAAAAAAAAAAGATAAGCAATAGGTATGAACATAATATATTTATACGTATCAAGTCAGATAACAAATATAAAGATTCAGAACTGTTTATCTAATTTGTTTATCTAACTTGTTTAACTAACTTATTGCCTATACTTCTATAATTAAAATCTTACATGTGCTTGTTATATTTAATATCTATATAATAACTAATTTTTTAAAATAAAAATAATAAAATGTAAAAAAATAGAAATAAAAATTAAGTAAAGTCTATAAATCAAACAAATCACACCTAGCAATAACAATTCATATATAATAAATAATAAATAATAAATACTAAACCAAATATATAACACATATAATAATAATATCTAATGCTAGACCATCTAATATTATACCTTTTTTTTTTTTCTTAAACCAAGTATATAAATATATACCTACAATTATTCAATACTTATTGGGTTAAAAAATACTAAGTATAAATTTTTAAGTATTTAGATAGTTAATAAGTCTAAAAAATTGTATTAAAATTTTTTTAAATCAAATATTAAATAAAACTCATGCCTAACGTGTACTCAAAATGCTCACCCATAAACATAGATGTCCAGGTTTCACTTCAATTGGGTTCATTGCTTTGGATTTGGTCCTGGCAAAGCCTAACCCATTACTAACCATCTACTGGGTCTATATTACAAAAGTTACTTTCATATTTTTAGGGCGAGGCAGGGTGGATATAATTTTTTTTATTTGGTATGGTATAATTATTTAGTCCATTTTTATTTTCTCAGCTACTTAGTCTTTAATGGTAGATTTTAAAAAAATTTCACTTCTTCATAGTTCATACTCTAGTAGGCTAGTCCCAAAATATAAAC